GGCGAAGAGGTGGGAATGGAAAGTAGGTCCTAGACATGAACACGAAGTCAATCCCAGAGTTCACTGGGTGATGTAAGTGCATCAGAAGTTATAACGAGGTTAGCAGAAGGTGAGAGGGGCTTTGGGACATCAGCAGAGTAGGACAGGAGTTAAAGACGGTAGGGGCGATGATAATGGTGATGGGGGGAGCTTCCAGGGAAAGATGGGGAGAACGGAGGTGGAGTAAGACTCTGAAGGAGGGGAGGAAGTCCACCTCGTGGCTCCCTGGGTTGGGGGGACCCTGATCCTTTCATGGTGTCTCTTGTGTGCCCCAGACATGTGTGTGATCTCTGGCCCCAGTGGATGGCTCTGAGGACCTGCCCCTGCCCGAGCGACAGCCCATCCAGTAGTGCCGTTGAAGGCTGAGCAGCCATTGGGTTCGGAGCACACTGGGTGACCCTGACCAAGGAGCTGAGACCAAAATGACTGTCCATATTGCTGCAGAAATTTGTCATTTTTAATAAAAATATCCCTGGGGTTAGTTCTAGGTTTGGTTGACTGCAATCTGCAAGGTGGGTAGTTCAAGACCACAGGCAGCTCCTTGGGAGAAAGACTTGGCTTTCTACTCCCTTAAATAGTTACCATCTCGGAAGCCAGCGGGTTTGGGTTTGGTTGTTTGTCTCCCAGCCTCACAGCACCTTCCCATTGGAACCCAAACCTCTCTTCCCATTGAGAACTCCTGACTGGGACCAGCTGCCCTTCCTTGAGGGCAGCATGGGCTGGTTTGTGCTTACTTACTAATCAATCTGTAGTGAACCGTTTCAGAGAGGGGTGAGGACAGTCACTATAAATGAGTAAGTAAACACAATCAGCCCATGCTTACCTGGCTTGCTGGCCTCAACCTCTGCACTGAACCCATCCCCAGTCCTCCAAGTGTCACTTAACTCTCTCTGCCTTTGAGGCGATGCCAGCTCATAGGCCAGGGTAGAACAGCCCCCGTGGGTCTCCAAGGCGATAACTCTTCGTGGGAGTAGAAAGCCTTGTCTTTCTCCCTCGGAGTGGCTGGTGGTTTCCAACTGCTGACCCTGTGGGTTAGCTGCCCACCCTGGAACCCACTGTGCCACTCCTTAAAGCTTGCAATCTGTGCAGGTCAAGCAAGGAGACCTTTGGGAGGTTTCAGGCTTGTGGGTAACCCCTGAGGTGCACCTTCCCCCCTGCCCCACCCCTCCCACTTCCCCCACTCCTGCAGGTCTGGCAGCTTCAGCGTGCTCTAGAGCAGCGCACCAGCACCCACCGGGAGGACCTGCAGGAGCTCCGGCAGCTCTCCCACCGGGAAAGGGAGAGGCTGCAGCGGGAGCTCCAGGAGAGCTCCCAGCGGAACCAGGCCCTGAAGGCCCAGCTCGAGGCCTCCCACCAGCGAGCCCTCCAGGTAAGGGCCTGGGGCTGTCGGGACCAGGAGGCTGATGGCAGCTTGGTGATGGAGTGTGCCCCCACCCTTCCAGTGTGGGAGACCTTGAGACCTGGTTTGCACACCTCACACAAATTCCCCGGGAGTGCACCGTCGGGGAGCTCTGGGGCTTAGGATCGGGGCCAGACTGTTTGGACTCAGGCTTGCTCAGCCTGTGCTTCTTCAGGGCTTCTTGTAGCCATGGGCTACTCTGGCCTTCGGGGTTAGCTGCAGCTCCTCCTGTGTGCATGCCACCCTGTCTGTTTGGCCCTTTTCTCAAGGCCTGTTACACACTCCTGGGGACAGCTGAGGACGCCAACGTGAGCTCTGACTTTGTGCACACCCCTCCCACAGCTTCCAAGAGTGAGCCTGTCTCCATTTCCAACCCAGGTCACGGTCAGCACTTCAGGGGCTAAGGGATCAACACACAAGACCAAAGAACCCAAGCCGTTCCCTTTGAAGGGTGGTGGCCTGCAGAGTGGCTGGCGGGTTCACACGGCCAAGCCTTTCAGTCAGTAGCAAGCATGCAGCCCTGTGTCACCAGGGCTCCACGAGGAGGCTTCAGCCCTAGCAGAAAGTCAGTCTGAAGTCAGCTCTTCACAAAGCACCAGCTGTGGGAGCACGGTTGTTGGCTGGAGCCCCTTCTTGCAGCCCCGTTGTCCATCCATCTCCGTGAGGGCCCGCCTCTTCTTCTCTGCCCCTCTTCCTGACCGAGCAGGATGTCCTTCACCCGGGACTGACCTCTCCTGACAACAGGTCCAAAGTCCGTGAGCCGAGTCCTCTCCACCTTTGCTTCGAAGGAGCATTCTGGCTTCTTTCTGGATAGGTGTGTTTGCCCTCGGGAAGTCTGTGGGACTTTGAGCGTTCCTGGCCAGCCCCGCAGGACAGGTGCATCGGTTCTTGTACGGTCTTCCTTAGGAACTGCTTTCACGTCGTCGGAGATGGTTTTTCTCACTTGGCACAGGCATAGGAAGTGACTGAAGGCACCCCGTAGTCCTCACGGTGACACCTGTGCTCTTCAGCACTGGAAAGAGATCTTGTGCCTTTACCAAGCCACTCCGAAAGAACCCTCTGACTCCCAGGGGCCCTAAGGGGCAGATCCTGAGTTTCCGAGGCTGTGAATCCTGGTGGAAGCAGATGCCCTTCTTCCATCGTGGCAGGCCTGAGTCACCAGTCTTGGTTTGCAGCTGAGCGCTCGAACCTCTGCACCACCAGGGCCCCTTGGGCTGTGCTCCACATAGCTGGAGACGCTCGTACATTAGCCCCAGTCCCCGCAGTAGATCTTAACCCACCCAAAGCCACCGCTGTGGAGGCGATTCTGACACAGAGCGACCCTCTCAATGGCTTCCATGGCCTGAGTCTTTACTGGACAGATGGCCTCATCTTTCGCCCCCATAGTGACTGGTGGGTGTGTTGTCCCTGGAGGAGACACAGCCAGCCATAGGTTAAAACCAGACCTCCCCTGGTGCCTGGTCCAAGCAGGCCACTTCTTTTCTCGGAGCCTGTTTCCCCCTCTGTGAGAAGTGGGGAGGGGGACCTTGGTAGTGGTTAAGCACTTGCTGCTAACCAGAAGGCTGGCTGAGGAGCTGTGGGACCCACCAGAACTTCCATGGGGCATGACGTGGCCATTGGCTTCCGTCGGGAGTACAGCCTGGAAAACGCCACGGAGCGGTTCTACTCTGTCCTTCAGGGCCACTACGGGCCAGAATCGACTTGACTTTATGCAGGGGCCAAGGGAATAAACGCCTTCAGCTTTGGGGTTTGACCTTGGGAACACGCATTCCTCTCTCCCTGCTGTCGTGTCCTCTTGTGTAAATCGAGGCTGTGTGTGAACCAGAATTGTCTTGCTGGCAAACCCAGCTCTTCTGAAAGCTGTTGTTATAAACCTCCAGCAACCAGGTGGCTTCGTACAGCCCACATTCATCACCTTCATGTCCTGGAGGAGGGCAGAGGTCCTGGGACCAAGGTGTGGACAACATACCTGCATGCATTCTAAAGGCTCTGAGGAGAGAATCCACTTTCTCCCCTTTTTCAGCTCTGAAAGGCCCCCTGTGTTCGAGCAGGGCTGCTTACCCCAAAGTAGGTGTGTCAGACCCACCCACTCATGCTATGGAAGAAAGGCCCGGCAGTCTGCTTCCGTAAAAATGACAGCCGAGAAATGGCCGTGGAACACGGTTCTGCTCTGTACCACGTGGGGTCACCCCGAGTCAGTCGCTCAACGACGACTGTTGGGTTTGTTGCTCTGGGGGCTTCTGCAGTCCTTTAGGAGCCCTGGCCAGGTAGCGAGTTTCCAGATTGAGCTGTTAACAGCAAGGCCAGCTGTTTGAGCCCACCAGTGGCACCCCGAGAGGAAGATGAGGCTGCCTCCTCCCATAAAGAGTCATAGCTTCAGCCCATGGGGCAGTTCAACCTCTGTCCAACAGGGTGGCTGAGCCAGTACAGACTTGATGAGCCCAGGTGGGCTGCATTCCTTGGTTCCTGGCCCATTCTTGATTCTTCGAAGCATCTTCCACTGTCTTTCTCTCTTTCTCTGGCCTCTGTTTCCAACATCTCATCTCCCGTTTGCTGCGTTATGCTCTCTTAAAGCCCAGCCCGCTAATCCAGAATGATCTCTTCCCATGACTGTGGCCATGCAAGGCCATCTAGTCACATGTCCCAGGTCTTAGGACGTAGGCATCTTTGGTGGGGGAAGGATGGATGAACACGGTTATGCCCATCACAAAAGCCCACTTGAGCTAGAGCAGATGGCGGAGATATTTACTAATGTCGACACAACTTCATAGAACCTTCTTCGGGTGTCTGGCATGGAACTGCCCTTCAGTTGATGTTTGTTGAGTTTAAGAATGAATGCACAGAACACAGCCATAGGAATGAAGCCACGGGCAGGGACAGGGCAGTCCCTCAGGGCCAGGCTAGACCACAAGCCACAGAGCCACCGGCTCCTCGCTCACCAACAGGGAGCACGTGAAAGGAGCCTGCGCGGGCCAGGAGAGGACAGGGTGTGTCAGGGCAGTGACAGAACTTCTGGTGGGATTGGGTCTTAGATATGTGCGTAACCGGGGGCCAGGGGTGGTTGGGTCTTATGAAAGCCAGGGTCTTTCTATCATCAGTTCTGTGGATGTCATGTCTCATGGGAATTGACAACACACCAACTCCCCTTCAATGCCCATTTGTCTTGGCGTGAAAGTCCCTACGGTTTTCAACGTTCCTTTGAAAACTCCCTGTTGCTTTGGCATGATTTATTCCAGGCACCTTTTGACTTCCTGTTCTCAGGGTATGCTCCTGGCACACAGATGGCCATGCATGTTTAATTTAATATGTACTGCCACTCAATCAGTCTCTCTCCCTCTCTCTAACTCCAAATTCCCAAGGAAGAACTCTGGTTGGCCCAGGTTGGAACTGGTGTCCACTCTGGCCAATCAGCTGTGGACAGGGTTGGGTTCACACAGCACAAGGTGGCTGCTGTGGCCAGACCATCACAGCCACTAGATGGTGGAGAAGCACTGTATACCACTTGATGAACCCAGGGGAGTGGCCAGGGCTTGATGGGCAGCTCAGGGCAGAGAGGGCAGGCATTGGCCTCTGCGTCGCCTCTCATGTCTGCCTCCTTGCCGCTTCTCTCTGCAGGCCACGGAGGAGCACTTGCAGGAGTCGAGCCACAGCCTCCAGACCCAGCACCAGGCCCTCAGGCTGGAGCTACAGGCAGTTGAGGAGAAGGCCAGGCAAGAGCTCCAGGGGGAGCACAAGAGGATGCAGGCCCAGCAGGCTCTGCTGCTAGGTACTCCCCACCGCGCCTCACTGCACCCCCCCATAACCCCCCCACTCCACTCCACGTCCTGTTAGAGTTCACTGCATCCCACCCACACCCCAACCTACACCCCAACCATATCCCATCTGCACCCCAACAACTTGCCCAACCACATCTCATTCACATCCCACCATGCACCCAATCCCGCGTCCACCCCGCAACTCAACCTGCATCTCAACAGTACTCCAAGCATTCACCCCCACCACCCTGACATGCACCTTACCACCCAGGCATATACCTGTACCCTCAATCAGTCCCAAAGCCAGGCTTCAGGGCACACCCGCAACCCAGGGCTAGCTGAAGGCAGAGTGGTGCACCACCCATATATGTACCCCACCACCTACACATGCACCCCCCCCCACATACATGCACCCTACCACCCAAGCATGTACCCCACCACCCAGGATGCACCCCACCACTCAGACATGACCCTCACCACATAAGCATGTACCCACCACTTAGATATGCTCCCACCACCCAGGTATGCACCCCACCACCCAGGCATGCACCCACCACTCAGGCATGCACCCATCACCCAAACATGTATCCCCCCACAATCCAAACATGTCCCCCAGCACTCAGCTATGCACCCCACCACCCAGGTATGCACCCCACCACCCAGCATGCACCCCCACCACCCAAACATGCACCCCACCACCCAGACCCAAAAGCCAGGGCTGGCCGAGGGCCGGGCACCATGTGGGCTTTTCACCCTGACTCAGCAGTGAGTCCTGAGAGCTGGACCAGGTCGCTTGGAGCCTCGTTTCCCCTTCTATCAAATGGGCTTACGGAGAATGATGCCCTTGATGAGCCGGGTCGACACCCGGCTGCAACAATGGCTGGAACATAACCACGACTGTGAGGATGGTGCAGGATCAGGCAGTGCTTCCTCCTGTTGCACGCTGACTCACCAAGCAACTTGTTGATGATGAATTGGCACTGTGGCTGCCACAAGGGGCTCTGACATAACAAGTGAGGGTGGTGCAGGACCGGCTGCGTTTCACTGTGTGCATAGGGCTTCTATGGGCCGGGGTCTACTCGATGGCACCAAACAACAGGACCGCCAAGTATTTCTTCTTAGTTTGGGTCCAGACCTTTCACTGAAGCCTGTCCAATATGGGTAGCCTTGCTGCTATTTGAACTACTGGTGGCATGGCTTCCAGCATCATAGCAACATGTAAGCCAGCACATAAGACAACATCCCAGGTGAGTGCTTGCTGTTAAAGGTGCCCTCTGTAAGGAAAACTCGGTATGGAAGGTCAGAGCCCAGCTTGTGTGTGGATCAGGCTGGCCAAGCCCTGGTGACACCAACTGCAATGGCAGCTGTGGACACAGATGTGTCTGCCACCCTCCCCAGCCCCTCTGACCCCTTAGAAGCCCTGTTCTTTTGGGGCAACTCTGAAGCCCTGGGAAGCAGCTCAGGAAGAAGGAGCTTGCTGGGCTGTATCATGATGATGAAGCAGGGAGGGGGGCAGAGGGGGCACCTGCCACAATACCAGGTGCCAGGAGAGAGTCCAGGTGCCCTGCTCCAGTTCTAGTGTCTGTCTTAGACCCCTCCGCCTCACTCAGTGTGGGGCTGCTGTAACCGAGTTCCACCAACTGAGTGGCT